AAAATAGGAGAAAAATTTCGACTCGGGTGACCACCGAGAGAAGCAGGAAGCTGCAAAACGCTGAATGGATTGTGATCAATGAATACGTGGGACCTCGTTCGAGAACTAGAATCGGCGATTTCAATTTCTGCGTACCCCTTAACGTTCTGCTAGGTTTTTGCGAGGATTACAAACACGTGGTGATAAACGCGCGACACGAACTCATTCTGATACGTTCCCGAACCGACGCTAATTGCATCGTCACGAAACCGGAACGTCACAAGAATCCTACGATTACTCTGTTGAAAGTGCAATGGCGAATGCCGCACGTGGTGCTGAACGACGTCAATAAATTGTCCTTTTTACGAACGTTGGAGAGCGGACGATACCTAAGTATGGGCTAAGTATGCGCTCGTGGGATTTGTACGAGTACCCTTTGCTCCAAACCACGAACAGGCATTCGTGGGCTGTGGAAACAGCGACACAGCTTGAAACCGCGATACGTCATTTTCGCGCTACAAACCGGGAGGTCCAACAACTTATTGAAACACGCCTCCGAGTTCGACGACGGTAATCTCACTCATGTGAAACTGTACCTTAATTCAGATTTTTATCCCTACGACGATATGAACTTGGATTTTGAGAAGCGTAGAACGGCCATACTGTACGAGATGTACGCGAAATTTCGAAAGTCGTATTACGGATGCGAGCGAGAGAACGCGCTTCTAACGATGGAAGAATTCGACAAATGGGGCCCGTTCGTGGTCATCGACTGTTTTCGTCAGAACGAATCCGTCAAAAGCGCCACCGTAGACGTTCGCATAGAGTTCGATTGCAAACATAATATAGATTCCAATACGACGGCCTACTGTCTCATCATCCACGATCGCGTGATCGAGTACAATCCGCTGACTAACATAGTCCGCAAGATCGTGTAAAGGAAAACAGAAGAAGAAGAAGAAGAACGTATCTATTCGTTTGACGAAATCGCGATAAGCTGCAGGTTCAAACAGAGTGGGGGTGGCGACTGACCGTACAGAGAGACGATGTCCGCCGACCGCGACGTACCGATATTCGTGGATCTGCAGGGATTCGTTATCCGCGAAAAGTTCACAGTTAAAGAAGTGGCCGTGCTCAGAGACAAAAAAGAACTGATTCACTACGTGTTTCGCGCGCCATTGGCGTGGAATCTTCTAACAAGAGCGGAAAAATCGCGGGCGTGCTGGTTGACGGCGAATCATCATGGTTTCAAATGAAACGATGGAGACGTGAATTACGTTCGGGCGAGAACGATCATCCGAAGCGCCGTGTGCGATAGGCTGAACTGCGAGACGCTCAAACTCGTTTACGTAAAAGGCGCTGAAAAAAAAGGATGGTTGGAGGAGATTCTCGGCGACGCCGTCGGTGAGTTCAATGTTAAGATCTAGTCGATGGACGTCGAATACGAGGACATCGGTCGACTAGAGACCCTCAGTGCGATCCGATCTTTCCTCTGCAGACGCCACGCGAGGAACTGCGCCATGGAGAACGTGTGCAAGTTACACGATTGGTGGGCGGAACATCGCGCGCGTCTGTATCTCGACATTCTGTAACGCTTTTTATTGTATTATAGAAATGAGACAGCCGTGTTGTAGTTAAGATAATGTATTTTTTTTCTACATATTACATTTTTTTGTAGAGTAGTGGGTGGTTCTACTGGGGGCCCCTAACGGTATGATGTACCTCTGTAATGAAAAAAAAAGTTAAATAAACGTGTATCTTAATAAAAGAATATAATAATAAGTCTTTTTTTCAAAAACATTATTAAGACGTGCATGTTCGCGATATATTTAAACGCCGCTTTCATGTATGACGTTCCTTCGTAACCCCGGGAATCTTCCTCAAATCGTCCGCCGTTTGATCCAATAACTGACGCATTAATAGTCGCTTGCGATCCGTACGCGACAAAGTGGTCAGGATCTGAGATCGCAATTTCGCGTATTTCCACCAATCACGTCTCTCCTTGTTCGCGATATCCTTGATGTCGTAGACGTCCAGACGGATCAACTGTGATCCGATCTCCCCGGGGGACCTCACGGTAAGCATCCGTCGATCTTTTATCTTCGATATATGCTGCGGAATACGATCGAGATCGCGACCAGACTCCGTCAGGTCGAACAACGCGTCGAGCCCGCCGCCGCCGCTGCATCCTGCCTCCTCCTCCTCCTCGTCTCGCTTCTCCACGCTGTACGAATGATCCGTCGAAACCGCGGCGGGGATATCCCCTCCCGCACCGACGCGTATACTTTTGACGTATTTATTGTGATAATTAATCCGTAAATTAATTCGTAAAAGGTATCTTGTGTCATTAGATCACTCACTAATGATGAATACAACTTCGACGGAAGTCGATCACGAATAAAATT